AAGATACCTTGAAGGACCTATCTGAGAGGTAAGACTCAAACCACTGGAGTGTGGTTCCTGAGATGCCCTTTGCCAATAGAGTTGACAGGAGGATCTGGTGGTTAACCATGTTAAAAGCAGCGGACAGATCTAGCAAGATAAGTATAGAAAATTTGGAATCTGCTCTTGCCAGTCTTAAGGCTTCAACAACTGAGCGCAAGGCAGTCGGTTGAATGTCCACTTCTGAAACCAGACTGGTTGCTGTCAAGGAGGTTGTTCTGTGTTAGAAAGGCAGAGACTTGGTTGAACACAGCTCGTTCAAGTGTTTTTGCAATGAAAGGAAGAAGGGAAACCGGTCTGTAGTTCTCTAAAAGAGATGGGTTAAGGGTGGGTTTCTTAAGTAGTGGCGTATATTGTATGTTAATATATACAATACTTAGTATTTTGCACAGTTTTTGACAAGAAGAATTTCAGAAATTTTGTTTACAGTGAGAGTGCCATCATGAAAGGAGAAGGGATGGGCATTTTGAGTAGTTTTGTTGTTGAATAATTTAGCATATAAATAAGTAATTGATTTAATTGAAATAAAGGTAAAAAGGTAATGAATGTGCCAAAAAGAGAGGAGAAAAGTTAAAAACAACAGATAAGAATTGCAAATGTATAGTTTTCTTCACAAACATTGCATCAAGTTTTAACTTTAATATATGCTTTTTAATGTAGGAATTAATAATATTTACATGAAGTGATTTAGCAGACGCTTTTAGCCAAAGCGACTTACAAATGAGTAGATGGAAGATGTGTTTTAGCCATTTCTTGAAGATGGCTAAGGACTCAGCTGCTCGGATTGAGTTGGGAAGGTAAGAGTTAAGGTAAAAGTCTGTGAAAGTGATTTTGTGCCATTTTGGGATGGCACTACAATGCGCCGTTCACTTGCAGAATGCAAGCTTCTAGAGGGCACATAAGTCTGAAGTAGTGAATTTAGGTAAACGGGTGCAGAACCAGTGGTTTTATAGGCAAACATCAGTACCTTGAATTTTATGCAAGCAGCTATTGGTAGCCAGTGCAATATGCATTTACAAAAAGTTCAACTTTTTTATTTAGATACTGTTGCCTCAGCAATGTTGTTATTGTTAACTAAAACTATTAAAATTGTTTTTGTTAATTAAAATAAAGCTGGAATTGCATATTATATAAAAAACCTAAACCTTAAAACCTAAATTAAAACCTAAATGTTGCCTTGGCCACTAACTGAAATAAAATTAGTTAAAGCACTTAAAATGCTAAAACATAAATAAAAATAAAAGCTAAATAAAAATTTTAATTTTAATGACAAATGTACATAACAAAATGACTAAAACTTAAACAAAAACAATAAAAGCTAATACAAAATATCAATAAATACCATTATAGAATATAAATAATACTAAAATAACACTGCATCTCTTATACAAAAGACACATACAAAATGCATGTCAATATAAAAGCTCTGCATTTATTTTTATAATTTCATGTTCATATTTATAAAACAAAAAACAAATGGTGAAAGTCTCACAAGAGGATTGGTATGATAAGCATCCAAGTTTGAATATATATATATATATTTTTTTTACTAGTTGAGTTGTTGCTGAGGGCCTTAGTGCCTGCGTGTGTGTCTTTGTGACATGCTGTGTCCCCATTGCTTTTCTTATAGTCACTAGCCTAAAGCCACTCTTATATTTGTGGTTTCCCCTCAAATCCTAATGGGAGCAATGTTTGAGAACACACTGAGTGTGTGACTTTGAGTCCCAGAGTGAGGTGTGTGAGTGTATCTTGGATACACTGCCTTTCCTCTGGTCTCTCTGTTTGGTCATAAGAACAAGACATGGCTAAATGTGTTCGAACACCTACAGAGGGCAGTATTACTCTTTTGACGAGACATGGAACGATTATTAAGTTTCCTGCTCAGAGTCGCACCAAAATTCCAAAACAAATGCTACGGCAAGTGAATTCACACCGACTGCACTTTTGAAAAAGTCTGGCCCCGTGACAGAATTCCTGCGCGATAAGTGAAGCATCACTTAAGACCGCTTCTGTTCATGGCAGAACTGTGTGACATGCCGTTAAGAGAGCCAGTCCTCAGAACAACATGAACCGAACATTCTGTCCTTCACAAGAATTTAGCTTTGATCACATCAGCGAAACGATTAACTCTTAAAGAGTTTGAAATGGTGGCCATCGGGTTCTGAAAGTGTTGCTAAACTTAGACAAGAATGGTTAATAGTATACAGGGCCGTGCACAGACCTTTTGAGGGGCATGTGTTGAAACTGAAAAAGGGCACCCCCCTCCTTTATGACAAATGAAATAACACAAAATAATAGTCTCAAAAGCTTTAGATTTATTCACTATTAATAACAACCATAATATATATATATATATATATATATATATATGTATGTATGTATGTATGTATGTGTATATATATAG